CATCAATAACACCTGGATGCATTTTGTCCATCTCATCAAAAATGAAGACAGAGGAGGGGCAGGCACTGACATTGCCCCGAATCCAGTTCTGCAGCTGTTCCTGGAACAAGAGGTTGAAAACCACTGAGAAACGAGGTCTTTTCTGGCTGTACTGCAAGATCCTTGCATGTGACAGGTTCTGGGGACACCCTGTCAAATGTAAGCATCCCACACTCACTGCTTGTACTTTTTCCCAAAGGACCATAAGCTCTGTGACTGATCTCTCTGACATGTGACACTGAATTTAAATGTGAATTCTTTTCTTGCTGACAGAGGAAAAAAGACTTCCTAATTTCTTCTGCTTTGTGCAGGGCTAAGACATGAAAACCAGGCTGAGATGGGAAGTATTAGAGAAACCTTTTTGTTTGTTTAAAAGAAGTCAGTTTTGTCTTTCATATGGAAAACACATCTATCAGTACATTAGTTCTGGGTTCCTTCAAACACTAAAACATGAAGATAAGAATTCTCCAATGTCAAGGAATGAAGTCTTTCTCACTGCACTGTGTGAGAAAGCACTGCCCAGCCAGGCACTCAGCAGGATGGGAGAGAGAGGACAAAGAATAAGAGTTAGAAAATCACTGGGTCAACATAAAGACAGTTTGATAGGTGATGGCAAGAGGGAAAAACCAAGCAAAGGGAATCACTCACCCTCCTGACACATGCAGACCAATGCCCAGCCAGAGTTAGAGCAACAACCACCTTGGAAGCCAATGACACCCCACTTTTTCTTTCTTCTACCCCAGTTTTTATGGCCGAGCATGACAGGATATGGTATGGAACATCCCTCTGGCCATCTGGGGTCAGCTGTCCAGGCTGTGCCCCCTCCCAATCTCTTGTCCACCCCAGGCTGCTCGGTATGAGTGGAAAATCAGCATCTTTGAGGCTGTGCAAGCACATTTATGTTACAGCCAAAGCACTGCTGCATTATCAACGCTGTTTTAGCCATAAATGCAAAACATGGCCCGGCAGGGGCAAGAGAGAAGGTTCCTTCTAACCTAGCCAAGATATTTATCTGAGATGTTGGGACTCCCCTAGCAGCGAGCACAGGCATCGGCAGATGGCATCAGTGAGAGGGCAGCGCTAGGAAATTCTCTCACATTCGATCCCCCGCCTTTTTGGTGCCTTTTCCTCTTACTTTCTGCATGAACTTTCCCCTCCCTCTCTCCTAAGCGCCAGTGCACACCCCCAGCTGCCAGGGATCCTGGGGGGGTGTGCAGGACAACCCCCTCTACCAGGGCCCCTCCTCACCTTGTAGAGCTTGACCTGGTCGTGGTGGGGGAAGTGCAGGGTGGCCAGGAAGAGATGGACGAACTTGCTGCGCAGTCCCGCGGGGTGGACGTGCTCCGCCAGGATCTGGCTGAGGAAGTTCTTGCCGGTGCCGGCCCAGCCGTGCAGCGACAGCATCAGCGGCTTTTTGGGGCTCGGGTTGTTGCTGAAGCCCAGCACCGCCTTCAGCACCACGTCCTTGGCCAAGTGCTGCCCGAAGAGCCTGCTGTCCAGCTGCGCCTTCAGCGCTGCGGGGGGAGAGGGACAGCTCAGCCCCGCCGGTCACCGCACACGCACCGGGAGCGGTGACCGGCCGAGCGCGGGGCACCCCCCCCCAGCCCCCGCCGTACCGGTGGCGTTGAGGCGCGGCCCGTCGCGGGGGCAGCACTCCACGTAGCTGCAGTAGAACCTGGGGTGGGACAGGTATCCGGTGAGGGCGGAGGCCACGCCGATGGCCAGGCCCACGCTGAGCGGCTCCAGCGCCGCCAGCCCCGGCAGCAGCACCCACAGCAGCGGCACCGACGGCGCCATGGCGGCCGCGCGCGCGCCACCCGCCCGCCGCGCCTGCGCGCCCGCCCCCCGCGGCGCCGCCGCCGCCGCCGCCATCTTTGAGACGGGCAGGGCCGCCCTCACAGAGTCCCAACATCCCAACATCCCAGAATCCCAACATCCCGGAATGCCTTCTAGTGGAAAGGGTCCCTGCCCACGGCAGAGGGTGGAAATAAATGATCTCTAAGGACCCTTTCAATCCCAGCATCAGTCAGGCTGGAAAAGGACCACAGCGGGTCATCTTCTTGCAAAATGTGGGCACATGTGAAAGTTTTCTTAAGGAATTATGCTCTTTGGTGTTTGGTCTTTGTATAATTTCAAGCCTAATCAGAATCCCAGAATTCCAGAAGGCCTGAATCGCAAGTTGCCAGAATCCAAGAATCCTGGAATCAGGACTCCACTCCATACATGTGGAGTCTGTAAAAAATTTCTTAAAAAGAGATGGTCTTTGGTATTTGATCTCTGTACACTCTCAGGCCTAAGGCTGTCCAGTAGAAAAGAGAATACTCATTTATAAGAGCAGGGTCATCCCAGAGCACAAGGCACTGGATTGCATCCAGATGGGTCCGGGATATCTCTGCTGAGGGAGACTCTGCACCCTCTCTGGGCAACCTGTTCCTGTGTGTGGTCACTGCACAGTGAAGGAGTTATTTCTCATGTTCAGGTGGAGTTTCCTGGGCATCAGTTTTTGCCCATTACCTCTCACTGGCACCACAGAGCAGAGTCTGGCTGCATCTCTTGGCATCCCCCTTCACATGTTTCTACACTTGATGAGGTCCATCATTCGCTGCCCTGCTGGTGGCATCAGGAGAAGTGGACTCGGGGAACTTAAAAGGTTTTTTCCAACCTAAATAAATCTATGATTCTATGGTCTGGAATATCCCCTTGGTCCAGTTTGGGTAGGCTGTCCTGGCTGTGTCCCTTCCCAGATTCTTGTGCCCTGCCATCCTCCTCACTGGCAGGGCAGCACGAGGAGCTGCCAAGTCCTTGACTTGGCATAAACACCACTATGCAACAACTAAAACCCTCACTGTGCTATCAATATCATTCCCATACTCAACCCAAAACACAACACTGTACTGGCCACTAGGAAGGAAATTAACTCTATCCCAGACAAAACCAGTACAGTTTCTGCCAACATAAACCAAAACACCAGCAAGGAAAACGCTGTGAGAAGCAGGGTACATGACCACTTGGGGAATAAGCAATATGAGGTTAGTACAGCCCTCACCTTCTAGAGACACTGTGGGTGGTAATTCCTGTCTCTGTACAATCCCCTCAAAGGAAAATCTCAGCACCCTGGGAAGGAACCGCTTGGCCTTACCTGTGAAGTTCAGAGTGTTATTCCTATTGCAGCACTCCTGGAAACGGCACTTGAGCCAGGAATCAGAGGAGAGGAGATGCCAAGCCACGGCAGCACCCCCCAGAACGACTGAAACGCTGAGAGGGTCAAAAGCCGGAGTCAGGGTGGGCATGAGAAGAAAGATCAGAGCAGCGTTGAGAAGCTTCATGGTGGGAAGTGAGTGCCAGCCTGGCTCAGCAGGAAAAGAAACCAAAACAGAAACTGCAGAAAAACTTCCTGCAGCATGGAGCCCGGGGCTGTTCAAGAATCTGGGAGCCAAGTCTCCTGTAAGCTGGAGGTGTTAATGGGTTAACAGACTTATCGCACTGCTCCTGGAGAATCGAAAGTGCTGCGAACAGACCATTGCACGGGCAGAGTGAGAGTTTCATCGCAACAATCCCAGCTCTGAGGGAAGCAGGACTGGAATCCCACTACATCTTAACCAAGGTGCTAATTGGGCTAGTGATTAACGGAGAACATTGAGATGCTTGTTTTGGGCTTGACTGCATGTGGGTGTCACCCAGCATCACACAGCCCAAGGATTTCCGTAGCAGTGCCTGGAGCTCTGCAGCGCACAGGGCTGAACGTGTCAGAAAGCTGCTTTAATAAAGCTAAATTCTCAATCAAGATGATTTTTTTTTTTTTTGGTCCTAGCAAGTTCAGAATCGCCCCACCGCCAAAAAAAGGATGTTTGCAAAGGAGAAAGACAGATACCGAAACGGCTTTTATGTTCTCAGCGAACACTTTTTTTTTTTTTTAAAGGGATGAATTTTTTAATTAAAAAATGTGTAAAATCTCAAAGAGAAGACACCGAGCAGCGTTGTGTAGTATTCAAAATACACGCTCAGGATCTGACATGAAAAAAAGAACGAGTGCCCTGAGCTGCCAAACTCGTCGTTACCTGTTTAGGGAAAATCCACGCTGTCAGCCGCTATCGAGCCTTGAGGTGGGCACAGCTTAGATCTTTGGCTTCTTATTCCAAAATAAGTTACCCAGGTGTCATCTAAAGCCCCAGGGTGGGCTGCCGGGGAGCTGACACCCGAGGAGCTGGGCTTTCCAGCTGCCATCTCTCCGTTAGTTCACCCAGAAGCTGCGGAGAGGCCAGAGGAAGGAACTGGTCTTGGGATATGCAGGATTCCGTGTTGCCTGGGCTCTGTCCGAGCTCTCTTGGAGACAATTCAAATGGTAGTTTCACGAAGGTGGTGTGACAGAGGTGAAAAAAACGCTGGGAATTTTCCAGTCACCTGTTTCCTCGGTTGCACCGGTGCCCCCTGCATCTGTCCGCGCCGAACGCTAGATGGGGCGTCAGACACAGGGTTTGGTCCAGGATTTGCAGGGAAGGACAACTTTTGCGGAGGACTGAGTCACGTTTGAGGAAAACAGACGAGAGAGGAACGTGGGCTCACATCTGCAGAGCTGACCACTGGTGTTGTGAAACGTGATTTCTTGGGATACACAACAACCCCGCCACGTGGCTGACGAGGGTTCACGGAGAGCAAAGAGCCTCATGGCAGTGTCAGCAGGGGACCGAGGACAGCCAAAGGAAGGGGGAGAGTCTGGGTAAAGAAACGAGGCTGTTTAGCTGAGATCTGCAGATTTTCGTCTGTCCATCTGAATTAAAGATGCAAGCAGGGTGCCTTGCTCACCTCACAGGCTTCAGCAGGTATTTCACTGTTCCCCTGCAGAAACAGAGCGTGGTCCCACAAACACGGATGTGGACTGTCACCCTTGAATCCCTCTGGGACAAAGGGTGGTGCCAAATTGTGTCCTGCAAAGGGAGAATCGGTTTCACAGTTTGTGGTCCCCCCTTTCAAAACCTGGATGGCACATCTGATTAATGTGTGAAGGGAGCAAAGAGACATCCCTAGCAAATTTTTAATTGTGCTCTTGTGTCTTTTCACAGGGTCTCACCAGCCTGGAAGGGACTCCATCTCCCAGAACAAAGATGGGAAATGCATGATGGATATGATAGAAACAGTACAGAGAACGAGAATTACCTCATCTGTGCAAAAAGAAGGGGTAGCATGGGACACATCTATAGATCTCCTTTCCATGTGGGAGGGAGGTGGCATATATTTCCTATACAACAATAGGACGTATGCTGCATAACAGGTACCAGATGGGTGTTTAAATAATCTTCAGCTGCAACATGTCATGCTGTTATCTCATTATCCATTACAAGTTAAATGGGTTCAAGCTGGGCCTGGACATGGATGAGATGTCTAATAGTGGTGGTGAGGCTGACATTGATGGCAATTTCCTTGAACAGCAGTCTGGAAGCTCCAAGTGGAGCACAGACCCTGCAACACGCAGTCCACAGTGCGGTGTCTCGCTGCCTGTTGTGTTGTGCCGATGAACACACCTTGTTCTTTCATCTCAACGCCCTTCTGTGCCCTAGGCTCAGAACTGGCATCCTGTCATGTATTCACAGCGCCCTCCAGAACAGCACAGAGGGGGGGGGGGTCAGCCAGCAGTGGGTCGTCGTGAATAAACTGCCACAGGCTGAAGGTCCCGAAAATTTGTAGCAGAGAAGAATTTTGGAAAGGTGTTGGGTGTGCAATAGGCTTGGAGTGTCTGTGATTTAGAGGGGTGTTCAGCAGTGGTGTGGTGGGAAGGTGAGGGTGGGGGGAAGGAAAGGACATGGCAGGGGGTTTACAGGGAGAGGGAAGGGAGGGATTTGGGTAGCAGGAGGATATGGGGTGCTTGTAGGGAGTAATGGAGTGCTAAAGCTGTTGTGGTGGGGGAGGCAGTGGACATGGGGTGTCTGTGTGGCAAAGGAAGAGATAAGGGATGCAGAGATGGAGTATTTAAGGATGAGGAGAGAGGAAAGTCCCAAGGAGGGAGTTTTGCCTGGCCTTACCCTTCTTTGTGTTGAAATTTTTTGTCACCTACCTGCAGGTTCCTTGGTTTAAAGTCAGCATTCCCAGGACTTTGGGCAGCAGAGGGCCTAGAGAATTTGGGATGTGGCTGGTTAGCAGGGCTTTTCAATCACAAGGCAGCAGACAATCCCAGTTGGCTGGTGAGCCAAGGAATATCTCCAGCCAGGGGACAGGGTGCTAGGAATGCCCTGCCTTGAGCCCATGGAGTGCAAGAGGTTTTCAGGTAAGAATTGTAGGGTCAATAAATCAATGTTTTTTCCCAGAAAAAGTCTGTATTTTTGTTGGAGAACGTATAAGGTCCTCAATATTTCCAAGTTCTTTATGTGAAAGAGTTTTGAAAACATGACTGCTATTTGACATGAGGTTCTGGGCTGTCAGGAGGTTTTTTCTGAAGGTTTCCAACTGGAGAAGAAGAGCTGGGAGACTCATTTTTCCCTACATTCAGTTTAATTTCTACATAATCTCTCCCTGCCTTCTGACTCTGGCTAGACACTCTCTAATGGTTGGAGTTTTCCTGAGGGGCCTTTGGTTTATTTTTACCCTTTTTTTCCCCCTCCCCTGTATGTGTGGTTTCTTTTTGTTTTCTTTCCCCTCTCTAATTTCAGCATCATCTTCCAAGTGCTCCTTACCCTAAACACAGAGATGAGGCAGTGACAGGAAAGGGCTGCCACGCTGACGTACATTGGAATCTTTTAGGAGTGGGATTGTGGTGGGCTTTATCCAAATACAGGGCCTGGCTAAGGTCTGGGAGCTACACTAATGCTGTGGCAAGGCTCTGACTCATGGAATGTGTTCATTGACCTTTCTATAATGTGACAGTAGCAATAACACAAAACACCAACATCTACATTAATGCTGAGCAGACGTTGTCTAATCCTAGAAACACCCAGGGAGTTAAGAGCCTGTCATCCTTCCCTTGCAGGTAGGAAAACAGATTTGTGGATGATGAAAGTTCTGCTTGACGTGGTAGTTCACAGCAAAGGGTTTAGCAATTCTCTTCTGTCTCCAACCAGGATTTGCCTTGGGCAGGCTTAAAAATCCTTGTCTGTGGTACAGAGTGACAGAGTCCCTTGGGTCAGTGTGTGCTGCTGTGCTGCGTAAAGGATAGTCCAACAGGGAAAGGTAGGGATGATCTTGGGATCTGGGTGAAATAAAACATTATATGCTTGTCCAGATAAATCTGCCCATGTGAAATAATTCTTTTCATCATGTCTGAACCCTTGTAAAATTCTGATGTGCCAGGAAGGGTTGGTTTTTGTTCTGGTTGCTCTCTCTGGAAAATGCAGTTGAGAGGTTCTTCTCTACAACAAGAGGAAAGTGTTTCCCACCCAGATGCCCAACCTCAAATCTCTTTTGCCTGAGCCTGAACTGCAGTCAGAGAGCAGAGATTCACTGTGCAGTACAAGCAGGACAAATAACCAGCCCTGAGGACCTCACAGATGCAGTGGTTGTCCAGACCAGAGCTCTACCTGGTGTGCACCAGCACAACACCTCTCAGACCAGCTGGGCACTGAGCAGGGGGGGACTGTCAATGCTGCTGGTGCCCTTTGGCCGTGGTGCAGAGGGAAAACAATGTGATTTTGAATCTGATATCAAGTGGTTTTCAGCAGGTGGAGCCACACAGGTCCTGTTACCTGGTAGTGAGAGGTACAGGAGGGGACGTGTTTAAAGCCACGCTCGATCAGCATCGGTGTGGGTGAGGGAAGTCTCATATTTCTTGCCTCCTGTGGGAACTTGCTGGAAATGTAACATTTTATAGATAAGCACAAGGTGACAAGCTGACAGGACACCTCTCTGCTTCCAGTGAGACCTGGTGCTGGAGCCTGTTCAATCTTTCATTCATATCAGCTCCATCAAGCGATGATGGATGGAAATGGACTTTCTCAGAACAAGCACAAGGAGTTATTAAAGTGCCTGACAGCCAAACTGGCTCTGTTCCTCTGCGGGCCACTGTGTGCTCCAGAGGGAGCAGGGATGGAGGGATGAAGTGTTCAGAAGTGGTGTGGATATGGCATTTGGGGATGTGGTTTAGTGGTGAACAGGGTGGTGCTGGTGCTGGGTTAACTGGTTGGATTTGAAGATCTTAGAGATTTTTTTTTCCAACCTGAATGGTTCTATGATTCTCTGCTAATGGAACCACCCAAAGCCAGGTGCAAATAAGCAGCAGCCACCTCTGGACCATGCAAATCCATCTGGGCTGGCAGCTGAAAGAGGCACCCTCGGGGCAGGAACTCATTTACCAGCCTCGTCTTTTCACCCCTCACTGCAGACCTGGCTCTGCTCCCACCTATTTGCCTCAGGGTTCTGATTTCAAGGCCTGTGTTGTGCAAGATTGAGATGAATAATGTATGAAGTGGTAGCGATAGACCCTGGTTGGGCTATCGATGCTGGCAGTTAGGCTTTGTTTTGACTTGTAACTAAACATTCCTGGTGCAGACATCCTCTGTGGTTTGGTGATTAGATCTGAGAACTGCATTTGGACTCCAGGGGTCAAGTCAAGGTGCTGTCACCCATCTCCAGCAGCACTGGCTTAGTCACATCATCTGTTCCTAATCCTCTGCTTGTCTCTCCATGACATGAACAAGAGGGGAAAGAGATCCCATAAAAAGATTATTGTTATCATCATCTCAATTCAGATTGTGTTTCATTATGAATTTATTGTCCCAGGATGTAATTTGGTTTGAACAGTCTGAATAGTGAGCTTGATGTGTGTAAACATTGAGCATTCCCGTCATTTGTGGCAACAAATCTGCAAGAAAGAGAATTAAACCTTGTGCTGTAGGTGCTCATTGGTAAAATGGGATGCTCTGAGAGCTGAACTTCACCTGCCTCAGTCCCATCTTTGGTTTTTAACTTTGTTTTTAAAATTGAGCCCAGAATCTGAAACCGGACACTGTTCCTGTTTGGCTTTGACTGGGCTCCAGAATCTACTTTCTGTTTTTGTTCTCCAGGCTGGTTTGGAGTGGAGTAGCTCTCACGTGAGCCTCTCTCCCTGTGTAGCAACAGCTCTCACTGAGAGAACAAGAAATAATAGGGAAACTGTAGCCCATATTCTATCTTAAATAGAATTCTGTTGTAAACAATAACTGTGTGAAGGAGATGAAACCTGAGCTGGATGAAATAAGAAAACACCATGCTCACATGGTGTGGGGGGATTCCTACAGGAAGAGGGTTATGGGGCATGGGTAATGCTGTGCCCTTGTTCCACTTATGGGCTCTGATGTGGCCAGTGGCTTGTATTTCATCCAAAGCACATAAGGTGGTGATGTTATTAAGCAGGCAGCCCCATTTGATGCTTTCAGACCTTTAGGTGAAAGAGGATTTAAAAGTGCTCGGTAGGTTTGGGGTTGGACCAGAATCAGAGGCTGTGTTTGGCTTGGGGTTTGCAAAACTAAACACCCTGCACTTACACTCATCTCCCATGGAAGAGCCATAAATACAGGTCACTAAAATTAGTCTTGCAAAGCAGCTCCTCTGACTGGGGCCTTTGCTATTCCTGCTCTTCTGTCTCCAGTTCGTGCCTGCATAAAGGTCTCTGCCTGGTTTTAATCAGCTCTGGCGTTTAGCACTGAGGAATAAGTAGGTTCATCAGGAGAAAGGGACTGTTTGCTGCTGTAAGAGCTTCCCCATTTGTTCAGACAGGCCTGGTCTGGCTGCCCTTGGAAGGCTGGAGAGGTTATGGAGCCAGGCTTAGTACTAGAGCTGGTTGCAAGGTCAGGAAAGGGCAGAAAAGGCAAAAGGACAGCACAGGCTCCGAATTTGCTGGAGAGTCTCAGAGGGGATCTGTAACAGGCACCAGCAGCCAGCACACCCTGGCACCAGCAGTGAGGTGTCCTGAACTAGGAGGGATGTGGTGATTTCTGTGGAGGCCACACTGAGAAGGCTCCCTGGAAACTGCCCCTTGTCTGTCCATCTCTGTGGTTTGGATATCAGAATGTCACTGCAGGACAGCCAAGGCATCTCTCTTCCTTAGTGACTTGCCACCAAGAGCTTGATGGGGTTTTTTCTAGGTTCTTTCTGGTTGGTTTATGGTACTGAAAGAGAGAAAAAGAAAATCCAGGGAAAAAATAAATTTAAACATTTACATCTGCTGAAATTTTGTGGAGGATAATGTAGCTTAGGAGCATGAACTTGAGTGACTGCAAAGAGAGACCTACTGAGGTCCCTGTGTAGGAGTGTGTCCCTCTAGTTAAGCAGGACCAACTGAGAGGTATTTAATTCTTCCACTCCTGCAATGTCCAGCTGTGAAACTCTGTGAAGGGTTCCTTTATGCCTCAAATCTTACATTGAACAACCTGGAAAGTATAATTTTCATACAGATTCATCAATGTTAAATAAGGATGGAGGGTCAGGAGGGGATCTAAGCACGTTAGGTTCTTTTTCCAGGAGATATGTTATCTAACAGGAAGAAAAATGTACTCTGCTAAAATAAAAGGTTGCCTGCGGGGGCTTCAGTTTCCATCTATTGTTAAAATATGTGCTTGGGAGTTGGGAACCCCGGGGCCAGCTGTGAGCTGGAAGGAGTTGAAAACAGGAGAACGGATGTGCTCTGAGAAGAACAATGTTGAGTCCATGCTAACAGCACAGTGAGAGAGGAGACTGGCTGGAGGATGCAGAAACGCCCTGAAGGAACAGGGATGAACAGCCCAGATCTGTTGCTGGATAGCTGTGAGTGTCCCAGGGCTGTCTTCCATAGAGCATAGCTGGAATTCCTTCAGTTTGGGAGTAGCCCCGCCCCCCCCCCAGGGTACTAAATAACTAGGTGTGGAGAGTCATCCTGGACCCCTCAGTGAGGACTCCTGGCATTTTAAAGAAAAATGACCTTTTAGGAGGCTGGAGGACGTTTGGAGTGCAAGGGGTAAAGGAGTTGGCAGTCATGTGCTGGTCATCTGCTTGCTTGGAGGGAAATATGAAAGTATGACTGGGATAATCAAAAGCATGGAGAAATCTCCTTTGAAGAGAGATGAAAGCAATTGGGGTTGTGGTAAAGCTGAGTAAGAGGTGCTTTCACAGGCATGTTTTGAAGGCGGGGAATGTCGGGCAAAGCTGAGCATGAACTGTTGTTCTTCCTAATTCTTCCATGTGTCTGTGACATGAACAAGAGGGGAAGGAGATCCCATAAAAATATTATCCTCCTCATCATCTTACTTTAAATTGTGTTTCATTGTGGAGTTTATTGTTTAAATTATGCTTCATTATGGAACTTAATTGTCTCAAGAAGCAATTTAATTTAAACCGTTTGGACGGTGACTTGACGCATGTAATTGTCAAACATTACCGTCATGTATGACAAAAAATTTACAAGAAAGAGAATTAAAACCTTGTGATTCAGAGCTTAAGTTAATCTCTGACTTCTGAAGACTGGATGAACCGGGGTGAATGGGGCCTCAGTCCATTGCTGTCTACCATGGGGGCACGTCCTACCTTCAAACCACGGTGTGTCCCATGGCTGATACAACCCTGCAAGGTCCCTGCTCACACTGAAGGGCAGCAGCTCCTTCTACCACCAAACACGCACAGCAACCTCCCCTGCTGTGGTACAGGGCAGCACAGCTCCCTGCACCTTCCCACTGGGCAGCTCTATTCCCACTAATGTGGCCGTAGCATCCCGTAGGCCTTCCCACCTGGATCCAGCCCCTCTCCTGCTCATGGGGGAACACTTCTAGTTCAGTTTTGGCTGAGTTGGTGGCACTGTTAACAGAAACGTGCTGTGTTAGAGAGAGGCATTCTGCTGCTTTGTAAATATTTGCAAAGAGCTCATATCTATCTCCTCATGGAGGGCTGTGGAGAGCAGGCAAGGTTGCATAAACACAGGGTGGAGCAGATCCTGGGCACGCATCGTGGACACGGAGGTGCAGGCTGGAAATCAGGAGAAGAATCGAAGCCTGGGACCTGGGCAGGCTCCTGGAGTCCTGCTGAAGG